TATTAACTAAAGCAGTAGCTATCACCAAATTTGTGCGTAAACGACCGGCGCTTCTGTATCATTTCCGAGCCAAGCAACGTCAAAGATTAGGTTCTCTTCAACGGCGACGGGCATTGATGATTCCAGTATCAACACGCTGGTATCCAAAAACCAATTGCATTTCAAGTGTCGTAGCAAACGAAGTGGTGCTACGCGACGTCTTTCTAAACGCTGAGTTAGTGAGTCATTACTCAAATGCCACTGTAAAGCTGAACCAAGTGCAAGCTAATCTGGCAGACAGCACTTTCTGGACGGAAGCACGAGTAGTACTAAGGCTGGGTAATCCAGTTATCAAAGTTTTGGGCGCTCTCGAGAGAGATGGATGTTGTCTTTCGATGGTCTACCACTATTTCTGCAAGTTGAAAAACAATGATTTGTACAAACGAGAGATAGTGATGTCGACGCTGGAGTTCTGAACACGATACGTGGCTAGATTAGATTCTGCTAGAGAACCCTCAAACGAGAGTCAGCTCTAGCTGCATTTCTGCTTGACCCGTCAAAAACAATCGAAGCTTTTGAAGATGATGATTTAAACGAGCCTATAGATGCTTGTGTTGGCTTGGGCTTGCGAGCTAGTTTGCCTTCTGATGTGAGCAGAGAAGACTTCAGACGAGCTGTGATTGATTTCGTCCGAACGAAGAAAGGATGGAATCCCAATACGCGCGAAAAAAAAAACGCTCAAGACACGCCGTTAGACAGGTGGATGTTGAGGAGTAGCCGGCTCCCAGTCTTGGCGTCATTTGCTCAGCGAGTGCTCAGCATTCCAACCTCTTCCGCAGCAAGTGAACGCTCTTGGAGTGTCCACAGTTTTATTCACAATAAGAGTCGCAATCGACTTCATCCATTTCGTGTGGAAAAGCTTGCTTTCATTTACTCAAACATTGGAGAAAAATCAGCTACCAGCGCTGTGCACTACAAGGAAGGAGAACCAGACACAAGCGATAGCGACTCAAGTACGGAGTATAGCACCAGTGAAGCAGAAACACCAGCTGCATCGCCACCGCGGTCGCATCAACAGCTCTTACGAAGTAGTCGAGCCAGCACTTCAATCAGAGCACACCGTCACATACCAAGGGAGCTACGGCATCGCCCTCAACCTTCCAGTGCAACTCGATCTCGTCGGACTTTGTTTATGCCGGATAATACCAACGATCCTGCTGTGGTTTTCGCCTTCAGCAACACATAAGAGCGGGATCACTCCTACACTCAATTAAACGCAAATGGTGAAAATTGCAGACATGAATACCGTCTACTACAGTCCAGCTCAAGCCCCTCCCAGATTCTACAGTTTGACACAGTCACAACTGCTGATGGCAACAGTGGTGATCCATGCCTTTATCCTCAATCTTCTCTTGTGTGTCAGTATGGCCCATTTCATAGCTCTTTAGAAGCCCACTTCACATTTCGTCACATTCCTAATGAAAATTCAAAATATTGTTGACTTGCATCACATTATTGGTGGTTAAAGTCCATTGATCAGGTGCCAATGAAGTTAATTATCTCTGCTCGATTCGAGATTCGCTAGCAACGGGCACGAGTAGCAGAGCAGTAGCGACACTATTCTTATTCTCCAGCGTATCCACTGCATGAGCGTAGATGAAGTCTTGACTACCAGCAAGTTCACGCGATAGCAATCGTTCAGCTCGCTGCATCACGATTAGCCGTGAGCTACGTCGTGGTTGACCAAAGGCAAGCTAGGTAGTTGAACGTCGATTTCCCCACCATTTATACTGCATAAACTCAGTCGGGCTTTCACCATGCTATTGCTCGCATCCCTCAGCGCCGGCTTCAAGAATTGCAATGCGTCACTAAGCCTTGGAATGTGTTCACGAGTTGTCTTCACTAAATACACTTGCCGCTGTTTTGATGCACAATAATCTAATGTTACTGCCTTTGCATTTCTTAACATTCCTATAAGTACAGGAAAAGCACCACACCTTCACAAGCAGTAGTGACGTAAGCTCCACGATACGTTGTCTCCACGACCGAGCCCATGTGACTGGTCATGAATATCCCATGGTTCGGTTTATAAACTTTGATGTGCGCGCCATCGGAACTACAGTATATTTCTGGCAGTATGGATGAATATACCGTATGGTCTTAGTAATAGGCGACGTTTGGTCCTAAGCGACATACTGTTTTGACCAATAGTGTTCCAGAAAAAAAACAGTTGGTTACAGATTACAGTGTGCTATTTTTAGGCTTTGAATACTGTAATTCCTACGTAGCGTGTCATTTGGTAATATTCGGAAGAAAACCGGTGACCCTCCGATAACCATAGGGAGAATCACTGTGAACTGGTTGCAATCACGATGGTCCGCCCTACTATCAAGGGGATCAAGAAGAAGCGAAAGCAGTACAAGCGCGTACGAGTCGCGTACGGCCACAAACAGGACGTTCTCAGCTACATCAATGCTGGCCATACACCCGGAGAGGCTCTAGACAAATTCTACGGCTCATTAAATGGAAAAGAGCGACGATCTAAACAGCAGCTCATCAGCAAGTGGCGAGCCAACGAGGCCAAAATTACAGTGGCTTGCAAAAGCGGCCACTCGGTACACGAGTTTGGCGCGAAATTAAAGGTCTTCAAGACAAATTTCCCTGCCAAATTTACGGCAACAAGACAGCTTGGTGGAACGAAAAACTGTCGGTGAAGTTTTTGGAATATCACTTTGCGGATCGTGAATATCGCTTGGAGAATATTTTTGTTACTTTGGGATGACTGTAGCGCTCACTGGACTAAACCTGTCTTGGATTACGCTGCTTCTATCAACGTTGTTCTGCTTAAAGTACCACCGGAATACACTTACGTGTGCCAACCTGCAGATATTTCGTGGAACAAACCATTTAAAAGCCAGCTACGAGCCCTTTGGATTGAGAGTATTCGACAGCAACTACGCTCTTACAACGATGGCAAATTAGACCGTCTAAGTCGCAGAAAACAAATTGAAGCTCAAATTAACGTGGCACGGACAACCCTAGACCAAGAGGAATCAGCTAAAACTGTGGCTGGTTTAATAAAAAAAAAA